AGGTTCCTGGAGTAAGTGTGTATTTGTTTTGTTTTGTTTTTTAGTTTTCAAATCTATGGGAGGTAGATATTAGCTATTTTTGTTTCTTTCTTCTTTTTTTGCATTGTCATTAGAGAATGACATAGATTCTTTCGTGTTTGTTGACAACATCCTTTGTGGCTTACAGGGTCATCAATTTTAATCAATGTTTTACGACAGTTTGCAAATAATACGTGTGTTCTATTTATTGGATATGGGGTTCTATAAATGCCCTTTAGATGAACCATATGAATGATATCCTTAAGTCTTTCATATCTTCGCCAGCTTTTTGTCTGATTCATCAATCTATTTCTTAGAAAAGAGCCTTAAAATGTTCTACTGTGGTTGTGAATTTGCTGATTTCTCCTTGTACGTACTGATGACAATTTTTGCCTTACATATTTGAGATTATGTTGTGAAATGAATATAAATTTAAGCATTCATATTTCCTGAAGAGTTGTGTTCTTTAGCATTAACTCATGAACTTCTTTCTATTAATTTTTTTTTTGCCTTAAAGTTTATTTTGTCTGGTATTTTTAGAGCCACACCAGCTTTCTTTCATTTAGGGTTTACTTGTGTATATTTTCCATACATTTACCTCTACATTTTCTAAGTAATTATATTTTAGTTATGTCTCCTAAGAACATATATAGCTGGATTTCCTCAAAATTTCTATTTTGAATAATTTCAAATATGCAGAAAAGTTGATGGAATGGAACAATAAAAATGTGCCTACCCTTCACCTAAATTCATCAATTGTTTACATTTTGTCACTTTTGCTTCTTTTTCTATCTATATATCAATTACACAATTTTTTACTGAATTATTTGAATGTAAATTGCAGGTGTCATGCTATTTCACTCCTAAATTGAATTATTTATGCTAAATTGCATGCATTCCATAAAACATATTATATAAGTATGCAATATATTATGTAATACACACACACTCATACACACATTTTAATCATGTAAAATTTTATTGCTGAGTAGTACTTCATTGATAGATATATCGCAATTTGTTTTATCAATTCACCCATTGAAGGGCATTTGGCTTGATTCCACTTCTTGGTTATCACCAATTAAGCTGCTATGAACATTTGTGCATAAGTCTATGCGTGGACAATGCTATTTTTTTCCCTTGGGTAAATACCTAGGAATGGAATGACTAGATTGTATGGTAGGGGTATGTTTAACTATTTCAGAAATAGTCAAACAGTTTTCCAAAGTGGTTGTACCATTTACACTGCTACCAGCAATGTATGAGAGTTCTGTTTCTTTGACATACTTGCCAACACTTGCTTTGATCAATCTTTTTAATTTCAGCCATTCTAATAGGTGCATAGTGTTACCTCATTGTAATTTTAATTTACATTACCTTAATGACAAATGATGTTGTGTATCTTTTCATGTTCTTATTTGCCACCAGTATATCTTCCTTGGTGAAATGTCTGTTTAAATCTTTTGCCCATTTTTACTGGTTTGTTTGTTTTCTTATTATTGCATTTTGAGAGTTCATTCCATTAAATTTTAACATGCACAGGAGACTAAAATTAATCACTGTCTCCCATCTACCTCCTAAACAAAACTCTCATCTTACCCTTCACTGTTTTAGGATTTTACTGTTTAGAATTTTAGTTTCACTTTGTTTTTATATGTCTATTTGTCTATTTCCTCCCCACCCATCCACCTCATCTCCTACTTCTCCATTCTCTTCTTCTGCAACTCTAGGTAGAAACGTTTGACTTTTGCACTGTACCTTTCATGTCTCTCAATTACACTTTCACGTTTTCCATTTCTTTATATCTCTGTGCTGCTTTCTGGGGAATTTCCTCACAAGCCACCTTCTCATTCTCTTATTTATCTTGAACTGTGGCAGGACAGCTATCTTACCTCTCTTTACGTTTCTAATTTTAATGATTATATTTTTCATTTGTAGAAAGTCTGTTTGGTTCTTTTTCAAATTCATTTACCTTTTTCTTAGTGTTCTGTTCTTTCATTATGGTTTCTAGACCTTCTTTTCTTTCTTTAATGATCATAAATACATATTAAATAATGACTCTCATACTGGTCTGTTATCTGTAGCTCTTTGGTTCTGATTTTTATGTTTCCACATCTGCTAACTCTCTCACATGGAGAGTTGTTTCCACAAGGCTTTATAACTTGCTTTTGTACATGCATCTTCTGTGGGGTTATTCTCTCTTGGGTAATTCCATGTGTCCCAGTTGTGAAAGTGTCCCTGGGTTTGATTCTGGCAGGGTCACAGGGGCTTCGATGGTCCTGAATCAGATTTTGTGTTAATTTATCTCCTTGCGGCTCCCATACGGTGCAGGTAATACGAATTTAGATCCCATCTCTGGCATAGGCTTGGGGTTTGGTTTCTTCCTGTTGTGTTTTTATATCTTTCAACCTAAAGCTTCAGGAAAAGTCCGAGCTTCCTAGAGGGGTCCACGTCTGAAAAAGACTGAGGATTTTCTGGTTTCCTTGGAATGGAAGGGATGGCTCTTGCAGGATCCAGGCTTTCTGAAGGAGTCCCCAGTTCAGCTTCTCACCATCTATGGCCCAGGCCCATGTCTACACCACATGTGTGAGTATTAGAACCCCAGCCCTCACCACATCTGTCTGTAGGGATTTTAGGAAGCCCCAAATATAATATTCCTCTCTTCCCTACCTGTGTTCTGAGTCAATTTAGAGATAGATGCCAAAGTCAGACAAGGGAGATTAGCATTTCACCTTTATTCCACTAAAGCAGTTTACAGAACAGCACTTGGGTCCTTGGCAACAACAGAATTACAACACTCTGCCTATAACCAAACTTGCTCTGCAGGCACAGGCAGCATTAGAAAATCTCAATTCTAGTAGCAAAGCCTGACCTCTTGAATTTCTATATAACCTAGGGCAGATGAGAATGCATATTTTCTACAGGGAGACAGGTCCCAAAAAGGAGGAGCCAGAAGGGTTGATCCAGACACACCTGGTAGTCCCTGCTCCCAAACTTATCAACCATTACATCACCCCTCTTCTCCTGTGAGTGAATGAGTGCAGCCAGAAGTATTGCTCTATAGGAAGGCAGTTCCTCCACAAAGAACTGTGGGTGCAGGGGATGCGGTGGGGAGCGGTCACCCCTTCTAAGGATGTCCAGGAGCTTGTGTCTCCGGCTTTCACTCTCTCTTTCCTTTCTGAAATCTGAGTGTACCCTTTATTTTCAGCTAAACTATAGATTTACGACTATTTTTGGTATATTTTATCCAGCATTTCTATGTTTGAGGCCAGGAGCTTCAGCTGTCATGTCGTGTGCAATTCCTCCAGAGAGTGTTTTTCACAAAGAAACAGGCAGGCCTATTATAATAGGCAAGTCCTGCAGGAGAACAGGCCTTTCTAGACCTCTTTCCAAGCCTGTTCTAGACTTCTGAGATTGCACAACATAACTATTTCCACATATGATTCTTTCCTTCATTAACTGTAATAAAGTAAACATAGGTATAAATCTCAACATACCCCAATATATATGTATTTGCCTTCTGAATTTAGTAGGTAAACACACCTTTAAACACATGCAATAAATACAATTTCAATTTCCTGCCTTATATCTTACATCATGCATAATGCCATTTATACTCACATCCTTATTTCTTGCATGATGCCGTTTATACTCTTATCTTCATTAATCTATTGCTATACAGTGATAAAGATGCAGCTTCATCAAAGCACACATTTATAATGGGATTCCTTGAAGATATTTGAAAATACTTCATAGCCAATGGTTTTTGATGAAATTGCTTTTTTAAGCAATTGAATTTTAGTTTAAATATAATATAGTTGTTATAATGAAGAGAATACTTAAAGGCATTATAAAAACAGTAGGAAAGTACGTCGCTAATCTCTTGTGTATTTAGCCTAGGAAAATACCACATCCCTCCTCCCATCCTCAAAAAATAAAACAGAACCAACATTCAACTCAATAAAGACGTAACGTATCTATGCTGCTGAATCTGATCTTATTTCTCTTCTTGGAAACGGGCAGAAACATAGAGTTTGCCATCACCTTGAAGGCTTTCTTTCAAGTCTAGAAGGAGAAACATTTCAATATAGTAATGTAAAAGGAGTGGACATTTTTATTGAACACTTACTTTGATAGGCATTGTGCAAATGTGTTGTATGTTTATTTTATGTAGTCCCCTCCTCTATTGTAACTGGCTGCACAATTCTTAACTCATTTTACAGATTAGGAAACATGGGTTTCCAGAGTTTATTGGCACCCACGGGGTGTTACATTGTTTTGATGTTTAAACTACCTACTTTATTCAAAGCCCAGTACAGTCTGCTGGTAGGAAATATAATAATACCCAAGGGTCCTGAGGGAACAAAAAGATCTTTGAGTTGCACAAAGACCTAGAGTATACAAGGTGCAGAAATCCTGGGTGGAGACCATGATACCTTTTAGATCATCTCTCACCCCCCAGGGTGGCAAATTACCTTGTAGATCCATTATGGATTAGCTTGCCTAACTGTTTTTGTGCCATGGACCCCTTTGGCCTTCTGGTGAATTCCATGGATCCCCTTCTCAGAATAACGTTTTTAATGCCTAACAGAAAGAACAGAAATTATTGAAATTAGTTCTAGCATCTGACCCTTGAGATTTTCTAGCATTTCTGTCCATCTCACCTCCCAAAGCGCTCAGAGACTTTCCTTACCTTCTTCAGAGAAGGTAAAAAAGAGACACCCAAGCAGGTTTGGAAGGTGTGCGTGTGGGGAGGAGTATGAGAGGGGCAACGGAGACGTTTCTGAGATGACATTAGCGTCTTCCTTTTCCCTTCCTTCTAAAAGCCTCCCCACTTCCCTAGCGCCTCCATCTTTTCCCAGATCAAGTCCAATTTCTCTCTAGTTTTACTTCTCTTCCATCTGCCCCATCTCTTGCTCAGCCCCGCCCAGTTTTCTAGACCCGCCCCTCGCTGGCTCCGCCTCCCTCTAGGCTCCTCCTTCCCCATAAGTCCCGCCATCTCCCCTATCCCTCCTCCATTCCCGGCCAATCACGCTGCACTCTCTCGCCCTGCCCCCGTACCGAGCCTGTCGGCGGCCTAGCCTACTAGCCGCGAGCCGCGGCTGCGGAAGGATGGCCGGTGAGGCCGGCGTGTTCTCGGAGGAGCAGTTCTGGGAGGCCTGCGCCGAGCTCAAGCAGCCCGCGCTTGCCGGCGCCGACTGGGAGCTGCTGGTGGAGGCCATGGGTCTTCGCTTCTACCGGCTGCGGGACCAGGTAGCGGCCGGCCCGCTGGAGGACCGCGGGGCGCCGGGGCCACCCTCCCCGCGGGGAGTGTGGGGCTGCGGCCGCGAAAGTCAGGACCGGGGTGGGGGTGGGGGTCTTCTGGAGCTGGGACAGCGAGCTCAGGGGCGATGCCTCCCGCTGACGTTCCCGGGGCAGATCCCGGGGAGTTGGGAGGTCTTCTGAATTCAGCCTCAGGTCTGAGGTGCGATGAGGGAAGTGGTTTTTTAAAAATTAATGATGAAATTAAAAAGTGGGTTTGCTGATTCTTAGCCCCATGCACTTGCCTGTAGGAGACATGGATCCCCCCTGCCGGGTAGATGCCAATGGTGTGTGTGTGGCGGGGAGTATCAGGGATTTGAACATAGGTGGGACAGGGTGGCTAGTGTGTGTGCACAGGACGGTTGCTGAGAAGGACCCACTATCGTCTGTAGTCTTTTTAGTGACTTGCTTCTTTTGGCTGCTGCCCCTTCCTTATAAGTTGCACTTAGTCTGAAGCTTCAGGAGGAAAGCGGAGGAGGAGTGGAGTGGGTTATTAAGCAAGTCGTGGGGCGCTCTTGGAGGCCTTTGGAAGCAGGTAGCCCTCTAGGTGGAAGGGTGGCATTGCACCTGAGTCCTGTCATCAGTTGCTCTGTGTGGTAGTAGTTGCATGGCAAATAGGTTAAAAGTTGCCTTTAGGCAAGGTAAGTGCAATCAAGGTTTCCTGGCAGAGGACCAGAGTATTCCAGAGTTAGAGCAGGGAGGAGCTCTGAATGTCTGTGTGGACCAGGGCCATTGGGTATAAGAAGATGAACAAGAGGTGCACAGTCTAGAGCAGGCAGAATTAATTCCCTAGTGTAATTGCAATTTCTTCGTGCAACAATGGACATGTTTTCAGACAGATTCCTTTTATCTTCTCTCTGACAGTTTCATTTTCCTTATCAGCTGCATCCAGGCATTAGCCAAGCTTTGTCAGTTGGACTGCTCAGACATGTCTGACATCTGGCTGGTTCCGTTCCCTTTCTTTCCTTTATGTTTGGCACTCTGGGTGGCACCTCTCACCCAGAATTGCAGTGACCTCTTAACTAGTGTCCCCTGCCACTAGAGGCCTTCCCCCTCTCTGATCCCTTCCATCCTACACATTACAGCCAGTCAAGCACCTGAAAGAGAAGCTGTGATCTTACTGCTTCCCTTTCAGTGCACTGTTGATTACAGAATTAATAATAATAACAACCATTGTAATAGCTAACACATTTCGTGCTTTCTTACGTTCCAGACACTGATTAAGTGCTTTGCAGGTACTGACTTAACCCTCACATCAACCCTAATGTAAGGTACTATGATTACCACTTTTCTAGCTATATGGAAAAGAAGATATGCAAAAGTTAAGGTGATTGCTCAAGATTCGAACTGGGAGCGGACCTCACCTGTCCAGCTCCAGACCTATGCCGTAAACATGCTCCTGCATTGCCTCTCAAAGAAGGCAGGTGCTGCCAGGTGGACTCCACTGAAGTATTTCGGTCCCAACTCACATCTCCAGCTGTATCTCCCATGCCTCACCCATACGTCTCCTTACAACATCATCCATACAACCCAGACCACTCCATCCCTCCCCACACTGGCCTGTGCTTTTTTGCTTTTGTGCCTTTTGTCCCAGATTATCCACTGCCTGTGAGTGAGACAGAGTGACTGGCTTTGTATTGTGTATTGTTTCCATTGTGTATTGTTCTGTAGCAGGGCCCACATCCCTCTTGTGGGGAGGACATGAGTGGTGTTCTGAGTAGTTTTTATCCCTATGAAAAGATATGACTATACTACAAGATATGACTTATAGTGTATAAGTATATAAGTACAACTCATATACTTACAGTATATAAGTACTATAAGATATGACTCATTTCAACCTGTTCTGGGAATGAGGGTAGTCATGGAACATTGATGTACAAGCAGTCCCAGAGAACTCCATAAATTTGGAGGGCCGTAAGATTCCTGTAGATGTGCTGTCGAGCCTCAGCAGCTGGGATGGGGGCTCATTGCCCCGTGGTCACTTGGTCTCCATCTGTAGTAAAATGTTAAGAGGCCCTATTGGGTCTGAGTAAAATCCCTTTCCTAGAACACTTACTGGGTTCTGGCATTATCCATTATAATTTGCTGCCCGACCCACTTTGCTCCAGCCTGATTTTCTCTCTAGATTGACTCTCATCCTTTACTTTCCTCTTGGAAGAGAATTCCCTCTAATCTCCAGTCAGTCAGTCTTTTCTTCTGAATACCGCTCTGCATCAGAGGTGAATTCAGCTTTCCCACACTATGCCCAGACCTGCACCTGTCTCCCCTAAACCCCCTCTGTCTTGTGGACCAGTGTTGTCTAATCCACCATGCATCTTGTTGCCATTACTTGTCTCTTCTTCCACCACCCCCTCCCCAGCCATTTTACCCACACATGTGCTTATGGCCTTGGGTCCCCAACTAAGGCTCAGACCAGAAGACCCTGGCCCCTCTCTTGATCTTCCTCTGGCTTAATCTACTTGACCATTGTCCCAGGCGATTCCAGGTCAAGGTTCTCATTGCAGTCTTTGCCTTCTAGCTTTTAAATCCTCCAACTGGGGTCAATAGAGTGAACTGGTTTGGGCCCTTTAATTTTAGGGACCAGCAGTAGGTCCACCCAACTTTTGATAGTGCTGCATTAAGACCTTTACCTCAACCCCATGGAAATCCACTTCATTCATTCTATTTTTTAATAACTATCTAAAGAGTTCCACTGTACTGGAATGAGTCCCTCTATTCTGCCCTCTCTCTCTCCCCATTTTCAGGTTAATTACTCTAATTTTCTTGGCTAGTGTAAGACCCATAAGAGGAAGCTGAGACAGGTAATCTGATAAGGCTTTTTGGATAGCAGTAAGGTTACATGTGGTACCTGGGCAAAAGGGCCCTCTTTATCAAGGTATTTACCGTGACCTGGGGAAGGGGCATATTCAATGGATGAATATTTCAATCATGATAAAGCCAGTCCAACATGGCTTGCATACAAAGCATATGAGCTGCTTCATCAGGATTTACCATTCGGAATTTATAGTATAGGAAGAATTGGACAGTCTCCCTTCTCAGGGTAAACAGAGTTTACAGTGGCTTTTATCTAGTCCACCAGGCTGGCTGTTCCCTGAGGGATAACCTTCTATGTGTCTGGATCATGTATAACCGTCTGTGATTGGCTAAGAGGCTGTAGTGAGCTGTGATCATGATCTAAATGATGAAATGACAAAGTTACTATTACATGTTTTGAAACAACTGAAATAAGTGTAAAGGCGCTTGAAAGAGTTTTCAATATAATGAATAAATTATATTTTAAAATAAAAAATATTGTGGCTTCTTCATAGAAACAATAATTCTGAATCTTGTTCTTGTACAAGTTGCTTTCTTTCTGATACTTTTTCATTTCTCTTTTTCTATTAAATCATAGAATTTTAGACTTAGAAAGTTTCTTCAAAATCATTCTGTCCAACACCATCATCTTTTCCTTTCCTTTCTTTTTCTACTTTCTTTGCCTACTCTGTTTCCTTCTTCTCTTGTATTTTTTTCCTCCCCAGGTTGTAATGGTAATAACTTAGCTTTTCATGGTGCTTTAATGTACAAAATCCTGTCACATGTAAGTTTTCCTTCATCCCTCTCAACAAATCTGGAAGATAGGCAGGGACAGGCTTATTTTCCTATTTTACAGATGGAAATAAGACTCAGTTATTAAGTGAGCCACACAAGACCTTGTAACTCGTAACTAGACATGAACCAGTCTAGGAGTTTGATAAGCTCCATTCCAAATATACAGCTTGCTTCAAGTCAAGAACTATATTCTCTTTCTGGAGGCTCAGCAAAACTGGTCCAGTGCTGTCACGTGGTATCGTGGGAAGAGCGTGGATTTTTGAGGAAGATAGTCCTGGGTTAGCATCTCAGCTATGCACCGCTATCATTCATTTATTCTTTCAGGAAATATTCATCAAGTTCCTCCAGGTGCTATTGCCCTCGCAGGCAACTGGAGAGAATTAGGGAACAGGAAGATGGAGCTGCTGCTTCAGTGAATGAGCTTCTCGCACAATGAACTATATTCATTGATGAGAATAAACCCATAGTATACAAGAAAATGTCAGGTGAAAAATGCTATGAAGAAAGTAAAGTGGGATGAAGGGACAGAGAGATGGTATGGCAGGGGGAGCCAGGGGGGATGTGATGTCCTTTAGATAAGGGAGTTTGGAAACCTTCTCCATGGAGGGAACATTTGAGTGGAGATAGAAATGAGGTGAGAGATTGAGTCATGCAGATATCTGGAGGAGAAATGTACCAGAGAGTGTTTCTCAAAGCTCACGCACCTTAGCGTCACCAAGCCCAACCCTAGAGTCTCAGATTGAAGTGACCTGTGGGGGGGATTGGATAGTCCTTTTGAAAAGGTCCCCTTTCATATAGAGGTTGACTCTGCTCTTTCTACGTTTGTGTATATTTGAAGTGCTTCAAAATAAAATGGGTTTTGTTATTGTTTTGTTTGTTTGTATGGCCTTGTAAGTCATTTATTTATTTATTTATTTTAATTTATTTAATTATTTTATTGAGGTCATATTGGCTTATAACACTGTATAATTTCAGGTGTACATTATTATATATCGGTTTCTGTATAGACTGCATCTTGTTCATCACCGATAGTCCAGTTTTTATCCATCATCATACATATGTGCCCCTTTACTCCTTTTGCCCTCCCCCTGCCTCCTTCCCCTCTGGTAACCACTAATCTGTTCTCTTTGTCCATGCATTTGTTTACATTCCACATATGAGTGAAATCATATGGTGTTTGTCTTTGTCTGGCTCATTTCACTTAGCCTAATACCCTCAAGGTCAATCCATGTTGTTGCAAATGGCATGAATTTATCTTTTTTTATGGCTGAGTAGTGTTCTATTGTATATATATACCACATCTTCTTATCTGTTCATCTATTGTTGCACACTTGGGTTGCTTCCATGTCTTGACTATTGTG